GTGTGAATGTGCAGACCTACATAGAATATCAGCTGCCGCATGAATTTGCAACTGCATTGAATTAGTCGCCACGGTCTGGTGGCATCTCCGCCATACGAAATAATCATTCCGAGCGGCAATTTAGTGCCACCGCGTGATTATGCCACTTCCTGTCGCAATTTAAGTAGCAGTTTCATTAAGCATATGGCGAAATATGGCAAACGTGTTTCTAAGCGGCAGCTTGCGGTTGCTTGGTGATGCTTTTAAGTCGAACAGCTTTTGAAGTGTGCTACATTTACCGCTGCTATCGTATAATCCGTCATTTATATTGATTGGCGCGACGACAGTAGCCAACGCACTTTATCACAATAACAACAAAAACAACAACATACACAAGCAGCAATTAGCCGTTGAGCTTGTTAAAATCGCAATTCTTCGCTGCTTTTCTAAAGCAACAACGCATTTCCGCTGTCGCCAGCTAGCAAAAATTTTCCGCGCCGCGCGTGTTTGTGTGTGTGAGTAGCGAAAGTAAATAGTTGTCACATCATCATATAAACGAGGCCATGACGTACAAAACTTTCTTTGACCATCACTCAAAATGCGGCCGCAACATCATCATCACACACACACACACATGCACAGCAGCACACACCAACGACAGACGCGAATTATGCACGGCTGTCGGTTTTGGTCGTGACGCCACTTGACATACGACGACTTGACATGCGCCATGGGAAACAACACGTCACAATGCTGTGTATATGTGTATGCCTGTGTGTGTGTGTGTATATATGCGATGGGTCGCGCCTGCGCGCTTCCAAAACACTTTTTCCTTGCAACGATTAGCTGCTGCTGACGGTGGCTGCTCGTCGTTGGCTTTTGCCTGCTACTTAGCTGTCGCTCAGAAATGGCAGTAAATGCCACTAATCTGTGTGGCAAAGTAAACAAAAACAGTTGTTGCATTAAAAACGAGTTTTATTTGTTGGTTGCATGCAACAAGCTTATATACGTGTATATATGTACTATGTGTGTATATATATTGTCACCTCGTGCATTGGCGGTTGCAGCTACTTTAAAAGCCATTTTACTGCCAAAAGTTGATGTGTTGTTGTTGCTGTTGTTGGTGTTGATGTTGGCGTTTGTCGTGTCTAATGTGGCATGTCTGACATGCGGTAATGTCAACTTGTTGGTATGTAGATACGATTTGGTTACAATGTAGACGGTTTTGTAGTTGAAAGCGGCAGCTTCTTCTCTCACCTGCGGACGTGCGGTCTCAATAGAAAACTATGTCGATTTTCGTGGCAGCAAAAGTCCAAAGATGCTTCGTAAAAGTTGAACAACGTTGATGTTTCCACGCAAAAATACGAGGATGTTTTGATATATCAGCGACTAAGAAGTAATCAGTCAACTCTTTGAAGATCTCGCAGTTGGCTGATTAAAGTAATGCAGAAAAGTTACTTGCTGCATATTCTGCTACCATAGCTGGGTAGATAGAGCCAAAGATTTCGCCAGTTGTAAACTCGAGGTAACGAAGTGTACCACGAAGCTGGGTTCTTTTGTAAACATTATTTTGTAAAAGCGATCTTCGAATCTTTCTCTTTTTCTAGAAGCGAAGATCGTGATAATTTCAATCGACTTTGAATGGGATTCCTCTTTGCTTTAGAGGCCACCAGTTTTTCAGTAGCCAGTTAAATTGAAATGCAGCAATCAGACAGACTACAAACCTTACTGAAATTCCTAGAAGTACAGACACAAAAAGTAAAAAAAAAAAGCGTTAACTTCGGAAGATCTTTATCTTGAACGGCCAGTTGAAATGGCAGCTGTATGCAATAGCGGTCCGATCTGAAAAATTCCTTCGCAGATTGTAGCGTTGTTTTGGATGATAAACTATGCGAAGAAAAGTTTTCGTTACGAGGACTTGATTGCGATCGGTAAATTTTTGTGGCAGCTATATTAAAGTGGGTTGATTTACAGGAAGCACAAAAAAGACGGAAAAATCGCGTATGCGGGAAGTATTCTACGGTATATTCTGAACAACTTTGCCTAAGAGTATATGGGTCTAAAACCGGTTTCGAGCCAACGATTTTTTATATGAAATTTAATTTTTAGGGGTTACAAAAATTTCTTCGTCAGCTTTTAAGATATCCGAATGAAATTTAATACATCATAAGTGCATTTTGACATTATATTTACCATTTGTCGGAATCGGCCAGTTGGGACAATATCACATATCTTCCATACAACCGATTATTCAGATATTTTATTTTGCAGTTGCCTGCCTTTAATTAAAAAGCTAACAGCACGTAATTTTGCAGAACTACTCTCTACTACAAGTATATACTTAATAGTGAAAGTTAGAATAAAAAATCAAACAAGGTAACGCCAAACATTTATATATTTACCTTATAGCCTATTATATTGTACTTCGACGTTTTGTTTGGAGTATTACATATTTCGGGGCAAACTTAATATATCCGGTTCAGGGTATAAAAATTAGGAAATTGGCAACATCAGGATAACCCTTAACATTGTAATCGCGAGCCATTAGCGAAACCACTCCCAGGAAGTTTTTAGTTTATGTTAGGTTCGATAGCAGATCCTCCAGATTGTGATCGCTATTGGATCGCTACTACTACTACATGTAGTCCTTTGTGAAACCGCAAAAACAGAACACCTTCATCTGATCTTATAAGTCAACACAGCGACTTTTAGACTTTAATCTCGCAAACGTGAGACAAACAAGAAAAAAGTGCTGAGATATTTACACCTCGTTTTCTTCCATACACCTTCTGCAGCTAGCGTTTGGTACGATTCTCAACCTTGGGCCAAGGGATCTTGCAACAAAAAGAGATGTACCAAAATTGCCTATAACTGAGTGAAACTAAATGTGTTAAGTCAACACGAAAAATGGTTTCTGAGGTTAGAAGAAACGAAAATACGGAAATCTAATCTAATCTAATCATTATGTTTAAATCGAACAGCTTTTTCTGCAAAATCAAGGCCTTATCTACAAGATCAGTGGAACAAGTTTATAAATAAAAATTATTTATAAATCTCAAATCAAGTTGCGACGGAAAACTTTTACCGATAAAATCCAAGTACAAGTATATTACAGTAAAACAAAACACTGACTTATCAATTTACCCTTGTAGACGCTGAACAGTATCATATAAATGTGCCAATTACAGTTTTATTTGCATGCAAGTTATAAATTTATACACTATTCGGGACCACACCTGCGAGTACGCATTAATTTCACTTCTAATGTGAGCAGTATTATTTATTTCTTATGACCATTAAAAAGTAGTCGAACAAGTGGAGGAGCTTGTAAAGTATGCAGTTATTTCTTTTTTTTTTGTCGAAAACATGAAACGCTGTTTTTTTTCAAAATCGGAACTGATGATTTCTGCATATTTAGCGGCTAAAAGCGTGGAAATGCGAAAACCAAAGTGGAACTAGTTGATTCAGAGAATTAAAGAGGTGAAACTATTCCGGGTAAAATAATTTTATTATATCCTGTTAAATAGGGCTCGACCCGTGTTTTGGGTGTAAACTCCCATAAAAGAGACTGTCTTGGGTAAACTTTACATGTGACTGAAAAATATACTACTATGTTCAATAAACGTGGGATAAGCCTCTGTGATGAAACTGGTGATGGAATGGCATGGATGAGCCTTTTAAAATTCATCAACTGTCAACTGCCATCACATGTTTCTGGGTCTTACATTACTAGGTATTCCCGGTATCCGAAATATAAGGTCAGACCCGACAAAAATGGCTCAAAACTCTTTTAAATATACACACACATTTTTGAATTGGAAAAAAACTCCCTTGAGGTAGATATCTTAGAAAATTTTAAGATCTACAAGTAAAAAATGTTTCCTAAAAGGTTCAAAAACTATGGTTTTTGTAATGCAAACTAATATTTTACGTGTTCTTTATATGGGAGACTGTGAATGTTCACAGACACCTTTTAAAATTAAACTAAATATTGAGCAAGCAACAGAAAACTAGATACAAGTTGGTATCTTGGTTCCAACCTAGATTTTCTGAGGGTCTTAACCTTGAAAGTTCTGTTATAAGAAGTTACACGAAAGATAAATGAACGCCGTTACTGTATACTATTTACAAGGATTGGGTTTTAGATGACATGTATTTTCTAAGGCCTCATTGAACAGGGCGATAATCTTTTTAGATTTAATGCCCGAATTATTCATTTCGTCGAAGTTATATCGGGTTCATTAGCTCTACGTTTTGTACATCACCAGACTAAATTTAGTGATTATTTATTATGGTATATTAAGTTTGCCACGAAGTTTCTAACACCCAGAAGGAAACGTCGGAGAGCCAAAAAAGTATACAAGTGCACAACGTGACGAGCTGAGTTTATTTAGCCATATTGGTATATATGTCTGCTCGTCTGTCTGAATATTCGCGAACTAGTCACTCAGTCTTTGATATGCTATCGATCTAAAATTTTGAACACGAGAAAACGCAAGAAGCTGTATATTTGTCGGAATCGCCGATATCAAACCACTATAGGATTACTTATACGAGCTCATAGATCAAAACAAAGTCCTGCCATAGAACACTTTTTTATTTGACAAGACATCTTAACGAAATTTGGAATATACTTATAACTAAGGCAATATTACAATCTCCAAACAAATTATTCAGTTCGGACCACAATAGCATATGGCTGCCGTTCCAACTAACCCATAAAATCAATATAAAGATCCCTTTATACGATTTTGTGCTATTAAAAATGCACCTGTGAAGGGTATTATAACTTGGGTGCAGCCGAGGTTGACATTTGTTTTTGTTTATATGAAGATTGAATTTCTGATGAGTTGTAATTCTTAAGGCTCCGTTGGACAGAGCGAGAATTTTTTGTGAGTTAGTTTCCGCATTATTCATTTACGTTGTTCTTTTTTTCATGTTATTTTTCATCTTCCAAACTTATCCCCTCGCGTTTAGCACGAGGTTTCTAATTAATATTTATTTCTTTTATCTTCAAATAGATTTGTTATAAATAGTGTTACGGTAAACTTGGCACGCAAAATGATATGTTGCTGCCGGATGAGACTTATGACGAACACATAGAGCCTGCGACTGTAGCCGAAGTCAAGCAAAAGCTATTGGACAAATCTTCTACACCGTCAAACAATAACAAAACAAACAAAAGTAAAAGTGTGAAAACCAAAGTTCGATTACCGAGTAATCAACGAGAGCGTAATGACTCTCTCACGGGCAGCGCCGAGACGCATAGCGGTACTGGCAGCGGCGATAGCACTATTAGCACGGGAGGCATTATCTCATTTCCTTATTGCACTTCGAGTTTCTTCACCAATATCCTCGACACTTTGGGCGACATCTTGCCGCAAAGTGAAGAATTCTCACCACACCAACAACCTGCGGCGCGGCAAAGCGATGCCGAAGCGATTGACGAAAGTCCGCGCCTCAGTCCCAGCAGCAACAGTGACAGCGCTGCTGGTCCGCCAAGTGGTCTACGGTTAACGGCGAATGCCGATATGCTGCGTGTCGTTTGCGATAATTTGCTGCGTCGACATCGCATACGTCCGGACTTTTTCTGTCAATACCAACAAGCTATCAGGTGAGCACCTACAAACACCAATTGCAATGGAAAATAATTTTCATGAATATTTTTGTTTTTGGTTGCAGCGCTGCTGCTCTATTGCAACAAAATAAACCAAAGAATGTGACAACAACAACAACAACGATTGCATGTAACCAACCAGCGACTGTAGCTGCGGCTAAGCTGTCTGTGATTGCAACAAGTACAACAGCGGAGGCCGTTGCGGTGACAATAAAATCGGATGAGGCGACGGAGCTGTTGAATCAACAGCAGCGACATAATGTAGAATTGCGAAATCTTTATACATTGCCGCTGGTAAAACGTAAGAAAGCGCGCAATGCGACTGAAACGCCAACTAAAACAACAGAAACAACAACAATAACGAGAGCTGTTGCAACAACAGGTAAGCGCAATACGATCGCGTGTCGAATATTTAGAACAACAGCAACAATGATATCGTAGAAGTATTTTAATTGCAACAACGTGCTGAAATTCTCACCACGTTTTTGTTGTACTTGTTAATGTTATTGGCAGTTGGTTAGTTTTTTTCGCTGTCATTAGCTATTCCATGACTGCCAATTAATTTACAAAAAGATTTGTGTAATTCGAATCGAAAGTGTTCGGAAATTGTTGTGTTGCAAGAAGTTTTTAGCATGGGTGTTGCTGAGTTTAAGTTAAAAGTGATAAAGTTTTAAGGCTTACATTGAAGTTTTCAGTGATTATAATCGACTAAAGGTATTATAAATTGCTTCCTCCTGTTTCTTTATATATTCCGATATAGTTCCCTACACAGTTCTTCCAAGATAATCTTATGGCATAATCTGCCGATGTCTTGGTGTCTATTATCCGATCTCAGTGTATCCGTCTGCAAATTTATAAGGTTAGTAAAGCCATCTTTATGTTTTGTTGTTGTAATATCATCAAATTTATCACTCTAATGAGGTCTGGTAAAATGAAAAGCACTAAAAACATCATGAATCGACTTTACTTGTATATCTGCCTGAAACCTCAACAAAATCGAATCGAATCTAAATCGATCCATTTTTGAAGCGGTTGGTGAAAAGTGTGTCACTTATGGCAATGTCAAGCGAAACGCTCGTGGTGGAATCGCGGTGAACCAGCGCAACCGGTATTCTAGTAGCATTAACAATGAGAAAGGTTTTGCTATGAGTTTTGTGAGATTAGCAGAGAATCATTAGTAAGAGCTGCGCCCCTAAGGCTAACCTTTTAATCCAGATATGTGCTGTTAACAATTGGACTGTCCCAGTTTTTTTTACCAATAGGGCCAAGAGTTTCTATACATAAAACTCAGCGATCTAAACAGCGTTAGATCGCCGAAATAACAGAACATAACCGAAATGGATGGAATAAACATGCTGATGCTAAAGCACCTATGCTCGACAACAATAAGCTTCCTAACCAACGTCTTCAGCCTGACGCTGACCACTATTCAAATACACGATTTGTGGAAAGTCGGAAGAGTACTTCCAGTACTGAAACCTGGGAAACCCGCCAGCAAAGAGGAATATTATCGTCCATACTGTTTCGTGGTTAAAACTCTAAATTATGAAGAATTAAACAGGGGATTCCACATGGTGGTGTTCTCTCACCGTTACTGTTAATTTCTAGATCTCGAAACTCCCTCAACCAGCAGAGCAAATTTTTATCTCCTCGTACGCACGATGTTGATGTCGGAACTGGATCGATGGCATAAAAACTCTGGCTGTCAAGAGTCCTAAAATTTTAGGTGTAACATTTGACAGCCTGTGCTCCTTCACTCCTCATCCTGCTATAAGCAGCTCAAGGGTAAAAGGCAAAGAAACGTTGATGGCAACATACAAGGGAATCGGCCGGCCGGTCATAAACGCTGCATAGATATAGTCGCCTGTATGTAGTAAAAAGAGTAATAATAAAAAAATGTATGTAAAACACTGCACTCCGGACTATCACGGGCTGCCTCTTGATGTCTCCGGGCGAACACTTAAACAGCTAGGGTCGAATGCTTGCGGTCAAGGAATACAACGAGCTCCTCTCCAAGCAGTTTCTGTTGGAATGTTTTCGCAGAAACCATCTCTGCAATTGTCTGCTTGAAGCGGAATCGCCTCCAAGCAAAATCAAGAGGTCCTTCCTTGACTGCGTCGGAGACATCGAACAGTACGCCGACCAGACTTTGGACGCAAAAAACTGCAGACACGCACTGACCGCCATCGTTCCGGATCTGTGGCAAGTAAAACTTATCCAGAATTGACCCCAAAATACCAAATATATTTTCAGCATGTAATGAGTAACCGCATGACACTAACCACTTTTTTGCATGCCCAACGAACCGCACTCATCTAACACTTTCCTCCCTTTGATCCGACCCCGTCCAAACAGCACGTTTCCTGGGCCTATCGTTAGTTCACTTCGATGACAACTAACCTGAACCTTACCACCGAAGTGGGAATTAGATAAACTTCTACTACTACAAGAACCACATGGTTTTAATGAGAGCGTTTTCCTTGTCGGATGTTTTAGCTGGAGAAAAGGTGGTGACTACAGGATCCACCAGGGTGTGATACAAATTTAACGACCCAGATTGAAGTTGGACTTGATTTGACGGTATAATTCATTGCTTTTTGTCGATGAAGAGTAGTTGTACACACACAACTATGTAACTGTACCTAGTGTTAGAACCGAACGTGTAAGTCTCTGTCTGTATAGTACCTTAAAAGATTCATTTCACTGTCTGCTCCAATTACAGCAATGCCTCATAACGCTACGTTAAAGCAGAGCAGGGTTTTCTACAAAATCATAACAAAAATTGCTAAAGTGAGAGAGCATTATGATTTCTATCGAGGAGCAGTATATATTCTGTGAGTGAGTCTTACTCAGAAGTCATAACGACAGAGTCTGGTAGACTCTCCAAAATAAATCTATTATTTCCACTTACCGGATAAGAGCTTCGAATATTATTGTGATTTGACTGATGGTTTTATGGGGGACAAGAAACACGAATGACTCTAAGGGTGTCAACCGCTGCAAAGATTGTTACGTTTTGGTGTAGTATGTTCTGACAAGCAAGGGTACTCATGATTCTAGAATGGTTGATTGCGAAATTTTCGCCTTCGAATCCATCTTCTAAGTCGATTGAATGTTGATTTTTAAGCAAAATGAGCTTGTTTTAGTATAGAGCAGCTTACCGCAACTACATTTCCTACTGCCAAGAGCGGGTCAGCTCATCTTCTTTTACGTTTTCATTTCCTGCTATTCCTATATGACTGGATACTCAGATAATGTTTACCGAGTTTTCTAAATCTGGCGTTGCTGATAGCCCTATTGTCGCTGTGCTATCCACTAGAAAATTAATGGTCTTGCTGGTTAGAAAAGAAGCCCTTTCTATTATTCTAACATTTTCGGTCATAAAGACTTTTCGTCATTTAGTTTAAAACTGCCTTCTTTTCTATGGATTGCTGCAGAAGTGTTCCTGTTACACCCTTTAATTCAGCGATGAGTACATAATAATTCGCCATTTCGTCCATTCTTCTCTACTGGGGAGGAAAAGCATTGTGTTTTACTATCCACGGATCTCCTCTATTTTCTCGGTCATATTGCCTATGTTACGTTACGTCACAACTAATCAAAACATAAGTAACATTGCAAGCACTTCACAAAAAAGAGTTGCATATTTGTAGGCGCATGCCATATACTTGTAGCTCCAACCTGAGCTTAGTTAGAATTTCATAACAACATAATAATTACAGCTGATTCAATAGCACATAAGTACATACAAAAACATTGGCTGCATATAACACGTGCAACAAATAAACAATTTCGTGAGAGCCGTTGCCTATTGGAGACTGCCTTTTGGTTAGCTATTTGGAAGAAACTGTTTTAGAGAGCAATAGAGACGGCCGCTCAGAGTTGTATTTACGCTCAAATTTGTTTGTGTTGTTTGCTTTTGTATGTATTATAACTTTGTTCGTGTATGGTATACATTTTGTGTTGTGTTAATGGGTGTGTGCGCTAGCTCAGGTGTTGCTGCGAGAGCACATAACGCAGGCGCATGCGCGACCTGTTTGCCACCAAACCAACAACAGCAATAGACTGCTTCGCGCAGGTAAACGTTTTTGCCACAAGAACACTTGCGCCAATCGGACGCGTTTAGTCGAGCGAGAGCAGCGAGAGTGTTAAGTTGAAAAAGATTTTGCGGACGCATGCCAAGTGAAGATTTAATGGTGTAAAAAAAAAGAAAGAATATATACATATATGTATATAAATATATGTAAAGTGACAAAAATAGCTGCTTGTGGGTAAAAATAGTGCGCTAGAAGTGTTGGAAAAGCGAATTTGAGGTGTGAATTTGAAAATTAAGAATTTAATAAAAAAATTTCGAAAAATTAAAATTGAAATATATGTAAAAATATATATACAATGCTTTGCATATAGCCGCACAGGCATTAGCTGGCCACAAAAAAGTGTTTGTATGTATGTATGTGCGCGGTGTATACCCATTTCAACGAACGCTGTGTGGCGGTGGCCAACACGCCAGCTAAGAAGTGTTCATAATGGCTGTGCGCGTGTGCAACGGTGTGTGTTTGTGTGTGTGTGTAGTGTGTATCCGTTGATTGGGCTGACTTGCTGATCAGCAGCAGCAACAATAAGGAGTACTCAGCGGTGGCGCATTGGAGCAGTCGAGCAAGTTACCAGTTCTGAAAAGTGTTGTTCAAAAAAATATGTATGTATATAAAAATACAACAATAACCAAAACGCAAGGTACAACTAATGCAACGGCGGCGACAAAGCAGCGTGTAAGAAAAAACAAAAACAACAAGAAAATCATCAAAAAATTTAAAAGCAATATAAAAGTCAACAACAAAAAATAAAAAAATACACAAAAAAAAAAACAAAAAAAGAAAATTTCAAAAAATAAGAAAGCATGAAAAAAGTTAAGCAAAACAACAACACCAACACTGCAAAGCAACGAAAAATCATCAGAATTAAGGCAAACGTGTAAAATTTTCGTGGAAGGCCGCAAACGTCCAGACGCTGCGGTATGCGATATATGTACTATGCATGCATGGCGCATATGTGTGTATGTATGTGCGTGCAGCTAGCTGCCTAAATCTGAGTCTACCACTTCGTTTATTTGTTTTGTTTTGATTTTTTTTCGCACATTTTACTTGCGCCGCTTCTATTTTAGTTGTTGACGTGCATTGCGTTGTGTTGTAAGTGTATTGGTGTTGGTGTTAGTGTTTGTGTTGCTGTTGTTGTAGCAGTATCACTTGTTGTGCTACAACATTATGGCCAGAAACGCAGAAATTCCTGCGACACGTAAAGAAGCTGGAGCAGAAAGTTAGAGTAAATAACAAAAATAACAACAACAAATACAAAAATATCAATAAAAAACAACAACAATAAATA